TGTGATTTTTTGATAGCCCTCCTATTGATATGTGGGGTCCATGTCTTCTTCCCTTCAACTCAAGTACAATGATGACTGTACTGACCAATACAGCATGGCAAAAAAAGTCATGGGACTTCTGAGGCTCCATCATAAAAGGCATACTGTTTCCTTCCTGTCTGCTAAAATACTCATTCCTGAAGCCCTGAGTCTCCATGTAAGAGTCTGATTACTCTGAGATGGCCATGCTGGGAGGAAGCTCAAACCACACTGGGAGGCCATGTGTAGGTGTTTGGTCTGCAGTCCTAGTTGAGCACAGCCTTTGACTCATCCTACTCCCAGTGTCAGACATATAGGGGAAAAGCTTCCAGATGATTCCTGCCTCCAGTATGCTATCCAAGCTACTATCAGCTTTTGAATCCTCCCAGCTGAGGCCCCAGAAATCATGGAGCAGAGAGAAAACATCTCCAGTGTGTCCTGCCTGATTCCTTGTCCCACTGAATTCGTGATCATAATAAAATATTTGTTATTTCATGCCACTAAGTTGGGGTGGATTGTTACATAGCAATGGACACTTGTAACATGGAACCAAGTCTCAGGCAGTGGTGGGGGGTACTGTGAGTTTTGCAAACCAATCCAGTTTGGTTTAAATTCAATTGGATGCCCCAGCAAATAAGCATGAGGGTTTGGTAAGCATTCTTTTAACTTCCCGGCCACATTCTTGGATCAGACATCTACAAGTGCAATGTTTTCATTTGATACCAAATTTTTCCTGGTTTCAGCCAGTAGAAATTCCAGGCTATGGGATGTGGACCTGGGAATGGCCTCAGGACAGGGAATCAATGCAGTTCAAAAGAGCAGGTGAAGTTGTGCACAATTTGTATGGTCACAGATTACACATTTCTCCCATTAACTGGAGGAGGCAAAGTAAACAAGGGAGAGATTTATGAGACAATTAGTGTATATGCTCTGAGAAACAGCTCTCAGTTGGCCAAGAGTTTAGGATTAGTCATCAGGAAGCTACAATTGAGAAACATGTTTAAGTAATCATGTCTTTTTAGTAAAAATGTTTACTGCCCAGATAACTAAGGGTTAAGGGTATAACTGCTCTAATTTGCATAAGTTTGAATTTAGTGGCAAGTGAATATTTACTACAACTGGCATATTGATTTAATAAATACGTGCTTCCTCTTTGGAAGCAGAAGGTGCCTCGGTAAGAAGATTATAGGCCATCTTGCTATATCACATTAGAAACAAAGCCTGGGAAACAGACTGGGGCTCTGGGGACGTGGCTGAGGCAGGATGGGGGAGCAGATGGCCAGACCCTAGCCTGTAGCTAACTCTCTGCTGTCACCATCTTACAGTTCTTAATAATTTAACAACAAATTCCCACAAGTTATGTCACTGGTTCTGGTAGGCAGGAGTCTGCACCAGGGCTTGGACATTTGCTGAGGTCTGCTCAGACATTAATAGGGACATGTGGCTGGTATTGGAGGGGGTTTAGTCAAGAGGAAGGGTTTAAGGATCCACAGAAGCAGAGAGGCCTGGTGATACAGAGTTTGGTCCACTGGGCTGCCAGGAGGTTTAGGCACCCAGCACAGTCTTAATGAGACAACTCAGAGCCCCAGGGTTCCTTGGTTAACACTGCTCATACTGGGATCCCCCCACTAATGGAGACCTTGTCCTGTTTACGCCACCTTTGGTCTCTACGAATGCTGAGAAGTCACTCTCAGGGCAGGTCTTGTATCTTGACTCGGGTCTTCTTGAGGCTTCTTGGGGCATCTGAGTTTTCACAGCTTCAGTCAGGCTGACTGTGAGGAGTCCTGAGCTGCCTTTCTTCTGGGGCTTCCTTCTCTTGGGTCATGACTGGGGGCTTGGGTGGGACACCTGCTGTTCTCAGCTCCCTCACCTGGAGGGCCAGACAAGAGGGACAGTCCCCTGCTGCCCAAGTATGCATATGTTCAGGGAACATTCTCCCTCCTGGGCAAAGCTGGCCTTCTGAGCCTCGGGATGCTGTGCTGCACACAGAGGCCCAGCTGTGCCTGGGGTCACTTGCAGTCTAGGGTGAGACCACACTTCTGGTGTCCATAAAGGAGATAACAGATGACTGCTAGAGGGCTGTCCACACCCTTGAGGGCCCAGGCTTCATTGTACTATCCCACTGGGGTCTCTCCCCTGTGGCTGTGGACATTGTCCTTGTCTTCTTTTGCCCCAGCCAGTCCTATTCTGCTTAGAGGGAAAGATAGGATGGGGGCAAGGCTGAGAAGTGAGAGGTGGGGCTGCAGATGGGCTGGAAAGTGAGACCTGTGAGTGACCGGGCCTGTGGGGAGAGGAGAGGGGACGCTGGGTTCTGGAGGCAACTTGCCCAAGGCTGAGGTTCAGTTCTCTTGCCATCTTGTGAGGGGTGAGTGATGTTGGAAGACATCACGGATTAGGCACTCAGCAAAGTCTTTTTTTTGTTTTTGAGACAGAGTCTCACTATGTCACCCTGGATAGAGTGCCATGGTGTCATAGCTCACGGCAACCTCAAACTCTTGGGCTTAAGTGATTCTCTTGCCTCAGCTTCCCAAGTAGCTGGAACTATAGGCACTCGCCACAACACCTAGCTGTTTTTTTTTTTGTTGCAGTTGTCATTATTGTTTAGCTGCCCTGGGCTGGGTTCGAACCCGCCAGCCTTGGTGTATGTGGCCAGCACCCTACCCACTGAGCTATGGGCACTGCCCTCCCAACAGAGTCTTGATGAGACAACTCAGAGCCCCAGTGTTTAGTGGTTAACTAACTCAGCTCATACTGGGATCCCTCTACTAATGGAGACCTTGTCCTAGTAGCCAAGGGATTGGCCAGAATCATATTTGAGGTGAGGGACCAAAGCTCAACAATGTAGGGGAAAGGAGGAAGTAAAGGGCATGTGGGATCGTACAGGGATTCGTACTTTCTAGGCCCTCACCCACTTGTCACTCAGCAAGGACTGCTGAGTTCTGTTGAACACACAGCACAGACAGACAGCAAAGATGCACATGCAAAGGAAGGGGTGGTCTCCAAGCTGCCACCAGTGTGATGGGTGGCAGTCACGTGCCTATAACTCAGTGTGGATCAAGGAGCCACGTGCCCTCTGGTTGCCAACTCTGCTGTCACCTGCACCCTCTTCAGAATGTTCATCTCAGCCAAGCATGCCCTTGTTTCTGTCTCCTTGGGGAAAGTGAAAGGTTGGGATATTTTCTAGACTGACTGGTTGAAGATCCAGGAGCCAGCCTTTTTCCCTCTTTGACTGGGCTGGCCCTAGACTTTTGAGACCAACTCCCCTTTTCATGGCTTCCTATCAATAGATCCAGGTTCTGGAACTTTCAGGTGGGAGAGCCCCTGTGCACTACCTGCTTTCCTCTGCCAGCAGCCTCCAGGTGGGAAACTCCATATCCCAGCATGCCTGTCTATCCTGATGCCTATGGCTGCTACAAGCAATTACAACAGACTTAGTGTCTTCAAATAGCACAGATTTATCCTCTTATAGTTCTAGAGCTCTTTCCAACAGAAGCTCTAGGGCAGTGGTTCTCAACCTGTGGGTCACGACCCACAGGAACTCTATTAAAGGGCTGTGGCATTAGGAAGGTTGAGAACCACTGCTCTAGGTGGAAACCTGCTTCTTTGTCTTTTCCAGTTTCTGGAGGCTGCTCATATTCCTTGGCTTGTGGCCCCATCCTCCATCCCCAGAGCCAGCAGTGCAGCGGCTTCCCTCCTCTTCAACCTTCTGCTTGCCTCTTCAAGGACTCCTGCCTGGATAATCCAAGATAATTTCCCAGGTTTAAGATCCTTGCCTTAATCATACTTCCAAGATTCTTCCTTTTGCAACGTATGGCTGCATATTCCTGGTCCTGGGGATTAGCATGTGGACCTTTAGGGGAACATTGTTCCATCTGCCCCATCCATCTTGGCCAGCTGCTATAGTGCCACTAATGGGCAATAAGAGTTTCATTTTTCTTTTTTCCCTTTCCCCATATATTCCTAGATTTTAAAATTGAGATTCTAATTTTTTGAGTAGGTAATTTATTCTCATGATCCAAAACTAAAAACAACATAGCAACAGGGTGAGAAGTGATGGCACATGGGTTCCTGCCATCAGTTCTTTCTCAGGGACCCCTCAAATGCAGAAGGAAGGGAGAGACTCCACCACCTTCCACCTGCTGGGTCCTCCCATGGCCCAGCCCTCTCCTTTGTCCCATCTGTCCTCTCAGGCTCTTGTGGCTCAACAAACAAGAAACAAACAAAACAACAATAAAGGCCCTAATGACAAATGATAAGGTTTAGGCTGAGAACTCATGCTCTGTTTCCCTCTGTGTAGACAACGTGTATGGAACCTCCTGTCCTATCTTATGCAAAGCTTAGCACACAGTGCATATTTTTCTACACCTATTTTCTTGTCTTCTTTAATACTTCCTGAAGATTTTTCCCTATTAGTATGCAGAATGTCCTTATTCATATATCTCTTTTACCATCACCCAGAATATTGTGTGGATGGGGTCATAGTTTATTCAACTGATCTTTGCTATATCTGGAAAGTCAGTTCTTTTCAGATTTTTGCTATTAGAAACAACGCTGCAATGAGTCACTTAGTATGTTTATTTTTATTGTGTTTATAGGTGGATCTTAGGGATAACCCCCCAAATTTGGATCATTGTGCCAAAGGGTAAAGGTATTCACTGGTAATTTTGCTAGATTTTTTTCTACCATCTTCCCGTGGTTGTACCATTTTGCACGATCCTATGATTGACATTGGAGAATTTCCCTACAGCCTCCCCAAGAGGGAGTTGTCACTTTCAGATTTTTAAAAATCAATCTCATGGGTAAATCTAGTATTTCGGTGAGCTTCTTTTTTGTTAATAATGGAGCTCTTTTCTGGGGCACAGCAACCAGTGTGGAGGAGCCTGTGCGATGTGCTTGCACATCTGTGTGTGTGTCCTGCACATGTGCCAGTAGAGCCTTCACCCGCTGTACCCCCCCCCCCCAAGAAGCAGCACACAGAACTGGGATCTGAGAGGTTTATTGTCCATTCCTGGGACACTCTCTGGCTTCCAGGTAGGAGTTGGGGGCAGACCCCTTCACACAGGCATGTAGGTCCCATTGTAGGTAAAAGGGGGAGGCATCAAGCAGTCTCTGTCCTCAGGGATCCAGCGCTGGATATAGTTGGGGCCATTGTCCCGAGGCCACACGATCACAGTATCTCTGGATGCCAGGGACGGGTCCTCTGGGAAGAAGTTGAAGGGCCGGAGCAGAAAGCCCACAGAGTTTCCAGGTGTGGATGTGTTGGGAATATCCTCAGAATGGGGGATGTGCAGGAAGCCCACAGTCACCCAAGCCACCAGGTCCTGTGGGAGAGAGGGGTAGATTTTAGTGGGCAGGGCAGTGCTGAGTACTGATTACTGAAGGTCAACCCTGGCCTTTGGGGACTTCCAGATGTGCCTCAAAACTTGCTGAAACCCTCTTATGCCCCATTTAAAAGAGATGGGCAGATCTGCTGTGACCTCTGAACTTGCCCTGTGCACAGCAAGCCACGGCTCCTGGGACTGGGGACAGGCCCAGGCAGAGGATGTTTAGGGCTTAGGGCTTTCTGACAGGGCTGCTCTGGGCTCGGGCTGGGGAGGGTTGGGGATGGGGCAGCACCTCGTTTTCAATGTTCTCGTTATTGTGTAGAAATTCCTCAAAGACCACAGGCGGGGCCCAGGGGTCGTTCTGGTTGTAGATGCTGCTGCTGCACCGCTCCGACTCCCGGTACCTGGTCACGGCCAGGGGGTACCTGCCAGGTAAAGGAGAAGCCTGGTGGCTCTTAGCACTGAGCTGGCCTTCTGGCCCTCCTGGGGAGCCCATTTGGGGCTAATAATGAGGGAAAGTTGCTGCCTTCCCCAAATGAGAAATCATCTCTGAGGAGTCAGTGAGACTGAGCACAGTCACCTAGGGTGCAGGTGCCCAGGGCGAGTTCCTCACTGTCCTCCCCACGTGCACAGAGACATGCGCCCCCCAAAACAGTTGACTTTGAACAACACAGGTCTGAACTGTGCAGGTGCACTTATGCTCGGATTTTCTCTCACTTCTGCCACCTGAGACAGTAAGACCAACTCTTCCTCTCCATCCTCCTCCTCAGCCTGTCAACATGAAGATGATGAGTGTCAAGAATTTTAGGAAGATCCACTTCCACTGAATGAAGAGTAAATATATTTTCTCTTCCCTTTGATTTTCTTAAAACATTTTCATTCTCTATATTATTATAAGGATATAGTATATAATATTAATACATAGAACACACAAAATGTGTGCTAATCGATTGTTCATGTTATCAGTAAGGCTTCTGATCAAAAATAGGCTATTAGTAGTTACATTTTGGGGAGCCAAAAGTTACACATGAATTTTCAGTTGCTGTGGGTGGGGTTGGCACCTCTAAGCCTTGCACTGTTCGAAGGTCAACTGTACCCTCCTACCCCCAAACATACACACACCTGAATACACAGACGTGGAATCAAACCTACCTGGAAACACAGACAGACACAGACACAGACACAGAAACACACAAACATGAGGGAAACCCCAGGACCCCAACGACCCCCCTGGGTCCTCTCACCTGGCCCAGGTGACAGTCTGCTCCTCCTGCCAGCCTGGGGGCAGCACTTGGTCAGCCATGGAGTGGATCTGCAGGCGATAGCTGCGCTGGTGGCCCCAAGGGTTCTCCTTGGGGCTGGTGAAGAGCAGGTACCTGGGCAGAGTCCGTCCGAACCGGAATGCCGCCTGGCGCTCCCGGTGGTACTGTATCTGTTGCAGAGTCGGCTGGACCAGGCGGTGTGTTGGGCTCCAGGGGTTGGTGATGTTTTCTAGCTTCATCTGTAGTGTCTGGAAGCTGTTCTTGGTGCCTGGGGGGAGGCAGGGAGAAGCAGAGTGAAGACCAAGCTCTGGGAGCTGAAACCTCTTCCGTCTGTGCTGGGCTCTCCGTCCTTCCGTCCTAGACTAACAGCCGAACTCTGGGAGTGAGTGGGCTTTGGGGGCATGTTCTGGGCAGGTGGGGTGATGCTGTCATGATTCTTGGCAGTTCCTGGTTAGGACGGTGCTTTTGCCCATTTGTTGCAGGCTGCAACCCCAGAGAAGGGGCAGCCCCTCTGTCTCCTGGCATGAGAGACTGTGTCAGGGGCCACTGGGGCTGAGGGGTAGGAGTTGCCCTGTTCTGTTCTGTGATTTGGTGTTAGGCCAACCTGTTGTAACCTCCACGTTATTCTTTTATAGTGACCTCATCCAGGAGACACACTGAGTGTCCCAGAGGACACTATATTGCATCTCCAAGTTCTAGGTGTGGACATTTGTCACCTTCCCTGCTCCAAGCACATCTTTTTATTCCATCCACCACCTGGGGGTCAGCACAGTGCCAGATCCAGGTCAGGGTCCACACTGCCCATCCTGGGCAGCCCTCAGCACTGCTCACTTTCACCATTTCTCAGGAATATACAGATTTCACAGAAACAGGCTGGGCAAATGCTCCTCATTTTATGCCACCAGGGAGTTCTAGTGTTGTCTCTGTGAAGTTTAAGGTACTGGTTGGTGGCGGATGTTTGATGGGGAGGGTCTTGTTCTGAGTCATACCTGCCACGTCCAGGTCTACGCGGTAGTGCACGAGGTGCGTGTGCATGTTCCCGACCAGGTGGGTGTGCAGGCGCGTGCCGTAGCGCAGCCCCTCAGGGGTGTAGAAGGTGGCATGGACATAGCCGGTGGCGTGCATCTTGGCCTCCATCACTCCATTGGGATAGAAGATGATGTCCCAAATGTAATCATAATTGTAGACCGTGGAGGTCGTCCGTAGCACCAGCACCTGGCCCTTCAGTCCAGCATAGAAGTTGAAGCCGCCTCTAAAGTTGGAATTAAAGTGCCGCCGCAGGGGCACCCCCGTGGGCATCTCAAAGAGGCAGAGGGCTCGGGGATAGTGCACAGGGTCATCAGTGTCGTAGTAGTGGACGGCGTCCAGGAAGGTGGCGGTCTCTGGGCAGTCAATGCCTGGGGCTAACTCGTGAGTGACGCTGCCCAGGCCCCAGCCCACGTCCACATACTTGGTCTGCATGCCCGCAGGCGTGTGCCCGCCGTACAGCGCCACCGCCTCCTGCACACTGACCTCGTAGGCGACTCGCTCTCCGCCGAAGTGCACGTTCAGGACCTGCAGCCCGGACGATGAGCGCAGGCGGAAGGCGAAGCTCCAGCCCCCGTAGAGCACGGCAGGGCCCTGCAGCCTGTAGCGGGGGCCGTGGGGCTGGACTAGGCGAGGACCTCTCACATCCATGGGACTGGGGAAGTCCCCTCGCGGCCTGTGGGAGGAGAAGAGGGGCGGCTCCTCCCCGCTCTCCTGCCCCTTGCCTCGGGGCAACAGGTCTTCTAGGACCACCACGTCCACCTCCCCCGCGGCGTACTTCCGAGCCAGCTCTTCGGTGCTGGCGTAGAATTTCCCGTTGTACCACACCTGCTCCACCGCCCAGCTCCGGGCATCGGTGCTTGCGTGGTCCACTAAGAGCTCCAGCCCCATGGGGTGCAAGAAATAGCCTTCCACATAGCGCTGTATGATTAACCAGCTGCGGCGCTGGCCAGAAGCCAAACCCCGGGGGGCCACGTCAGTGAAAGTGAGGCATCTGTCGCCGCAGTCTTGGAGTGAGAAGCCCGTGGTGTCCAGGAAAAACTGATGCAGGGGCTTGGTGGCTTCCTGCAGGGTGTGGTAGAGGAGGGTGTATTCTGCCGAGGAGATGGGCCTGGAAGCCCAGGAGGGCTGGTGTCCAGGCCTGGGGGGCAGCACCCGCATGTAGTAGGGGTGCGGCAGGGGCCCCACAGCAAACTCAGTGATGTTGGGATGCTCCTGGGCGCCGAAGAAGATGACTGCACGGGCTTCCCGAACAGGACGTCTTTCACCTTCATCCAGAAATCTCAGCACATGTCGCTTCTTGGGCAGCAGCATCTCAATGAGGAACACGGTGTTCTTGGCCATGGTGGAGGCCTTGGAGGACTCCAGCCTTAGCTCTGTCCTGGACCAGAGGAAGCTGTGCACCGCCTTCAGCTCCTGAGCACTCAGGTCTGAGAACACCCTGGCCTTGCCGTGGGAAGTCCATGGAGAATGCTCCACTGCAGCCACCTGCAGCAGCAGGGTGGCAGCCATGGCCCAGCGGAAGGCCAGGGTCTCTTGCCCCATTGCTCTGGAAAGTAGAAGAGAAGAGGAACTTAGTTGTCTTATGGGAAGAAATGAGTTTCCATGAGGATAGGGCCTTCAAGGACAGTGGCCCTTAACTTCATGATTCTCCTATAGACGGAGCTTCCTGGCCTTACCCCACTCCCGGAGAGGCTGCCCGCAGGGGCTGCTGGACACACATGCAGTTCCTGGCACTGTTCAGGCCCCTATCTGTGCTTCTCTTGTTATTAATTCTGCTTTATTTATTTATTTATTCTTGCCTCGCTCCTTTGTAAACCTCTCACAGTCCTCTCACTTCTTATTCAAGTGAACTTCCTTGTTTTTGTGCATTATCTCAGCCAGGGAGAACACTAGCTCTTATCTGCCTTGAGATTACTTAGCCAGAGGCACTGTGAGTCACAGTGGTCTGAGGCTGTACCACTGTGCATTCCCCAAAGTGCTTATTGTGTCCTGGAGAGGCAGACACCTATATTGACAGCACAACTACATTTTTGATACAACAAAATATTTTTTAAGTAGACAAGTTTTAAAATTTAGCTTGGAAGTTTAAAGGGTAGGTGCTGGAGTCAGGCTGTTGGAGTTCAAGTTCTGATAAGTCATGCCATTGGGGACTCGCTGTGTGGCCTTGGCACATTGCTTAAACCCTTTGGGTATCCATTTTCTCAACCGTATCAACCCAAAATAAGTGACTGAGGCAACAATCTTAATCAATGGAGATTTATTCTTTAAACTTTTTTTTTTTTTTTTTTTTTTGAGACAGAGTCTTACTCTGTTGCCCTGGGTAGAGTGTTATGGCATCAGAGCTCACAGCAACCTCAAACTCTTGGGCTTAAGTGATCCTCTTGCCTCAGCCTCCTGAGTAGCTGGGACTACAGGTGCCTACAGTAATGCCTGGATAGTTAATTTTTTTCTATTTTTAGTAGAGATGGGTAGGTTTAGCTCTTGCTCAGACTGGTTTTGAACTCCTGACCTCAAGGGATCTGCCACCTTAGCCTCTTAGACTGTTAGGGTTACAGGAGTGAGCCTCTGCGCCTGGCCACAATGGAGGTTTATTAACCTAAAGGTGAGCATGAGCTAGGGAAGAACACAACCACAGACAAATCTGTAGATTTTTTTTTTTGAAAGGGGAATTTGGAATTTTCAGTATCTAAGGGGAGTAGGGCATATAGAAAGAAAAGAGAAAAGCAGGGAGCGGAAGGTAGTGAGACAAAATGGTTATGCTCTTTGATCCAGGACACTTTACATTTTACATAAGATAAGGCAAATATTAGAAGAGAAAAAAGGGAGTGAAGAAAGCATCAATTATGTAGATGTCTCTGGGTAGGTGGAAGACTGTCTGATCCTGTCTTATCTCTGTTCTGACCTGGAAAGATGAACCTGCAATTCATTATTAGTGTGGAATCAAATAGACTTAAGTTTTAGGAGAAAGACTAGTCTACGGATGTAAAGTTATAATTCATATGTCCTTGCTTATGGGAGGCCAGCAAGGCATTTCCTTAATGAGTGATCTGTAGGGCCAGCCCCTCCTTTACTTTCCCTTTTGCACGGGGAGTTGTCCTGAGATTTTTATTTTATTTACAAGCGTAGGGTAAAATAACAATCTCCTCCTAGGGTTGATGAGATAAATCAACTGGACAGTAAATATAAAGTGTTTGCAACAATACCTGTCTTATAGGAAACATGTAAGAAGTATTAGCTACTCTACCTTTTAAATTAAAAACAGTCTGTTTGACACCAGCACATTTAAAGTTTTAAGCAATGTGGAGTGATTCAATTGTGAATAGGCTGTAGCTCTGTGGCTTTGAGGGTGAGGATGAGTTGGCTAGTCCCGTTTAGCCATCTGGCCTTTCCAGTGGAACACTAGAGTCATGGTCTCTTGACCATTCAAGGCTACTGGGAGGCACTTCAGGGAGATGCCTTCTCCCCTCCCCTTCTGAAAGAAGGGCATGATCATGGTCTTCATCCCATAACCCCATACCCTAAGCAGCTAAAAAAATCCTGTGCATGTAGCTGAGAGTTTCCTGAGGGGCTGGGAGACCTCTGTGGCCACCATTCTCTGCTCCTTTGAGCCTGACTGGGCCCCAGCAGGCTCTGCTGTGTGTGTGGTCTCCCCAGCTCTTGGAGAGTGCATTGGCTGTTGAACCACTGGCCATAGCTGTCTTCCAGCCTTAGTTTCTCATGACCCTAAACTGGACTTGTTGATGCTTCTGGGCCCTTACCTGGAAGACCACCTTTGCCATGTCATTTCTCTACAGAAGAAGAGCTGCCCTTTCTGCCATTCACGCACTATCTGAAGGCTCCAGCTGACCTCGGAGTCCCAATCAGGGATCCCTCCCTGTCTCTAACTGCTTTTCACTTCCTATAGGTGGTACCTGAAGTGCAGACTTACTGGTGGGCACGTGAGTGGGCTAAGGACTATGAGAGAGACTTACCAGTGAAGGCAGTCTCCCCCAATTAGAACCCCTGGGGGTAAATCTGGAGAAGACGCTTGCTTCTGTGCAGACAGGTACAGGGAGGTTTAATCTATTCCTGGTCTCCTACCATCTTCCTGGCCCAGCTTCCTCCCAGGGCTCTGCCTGCAGGAGGGTACTGGGGGTTGATGGGGGCTGCTGGGGGCTGCTGGGATTTAGGTGCATTTCACCTGGGAACTTGGTTGCACAGTTGACGTCTAATTGAAGTGTAGGAGCACTGACTTCAGGTGGGTTATGGAGAGAGCAGGCTTCCTCAGTTAGGAAGAACCTGACCACCATGGACAATCTTCATCTTTTGCTTTTGCATTTGGAAAATGTTTTTTACACATCGTATATCTGACTTACAAGTGTTCAGAACACAACCCGTTTGCTAGCTAGAGGTCCTATTCTCCTTGTGGATTTTTCCCTTCAGAGACGCTCAACTTCTTGGTGCCCCTTTCCTGCCTGTCATTCTCTGCCAAGTCCATATCCATTACCTCCTTCCAAAGTTGGTTGTAGCCCTGCTCTGCAAGGAGCTTAGTGGCTTTGGCCCTCCCTAACTTAATTCACGTCTCCACCTACTGTCTCCTTAGAACTTCAGTATCTAATTTGTATGCTAGTCAGTCTTTCTTTCCTTCCTTCCTTCCCCAGGATCTTGCTCTGTTACCTGGGCCAGAGTGCAGTGACATCATCATAGCTGACTGCAACATTACACTCCTGAGCTCAAGTGATCTTCCTGTCTTAGCCTTCTGAGTAGATGGAGCTATAAGCATGTGTCACCATGCCCAGCTAATTAAAAAAAAGTTGTGTAGGGATGAGGGCCTTATACTATTATTGCTCAGGCTGGTTTTGAACTCCTGGCCTTCTGTGATCCTCCAGCCTTAGCCTCCTAAGGGTGCTAAGATTACAGGCATGAGCCACCACCTTGGCCTCCTAAAGTGCTGAGACTACTGGTGTGAGCCCCCACCCTGGCCTCACTAGCGTTTCTTGATGTGTAGATCAGGGAATGCAGGAGTTTGCAGGAGCTGTTCTGTCACCTGAGGGTTCTCCTGGCCATGAGGTCATAGTCAAGGCTGTCTGAGAAGTTCCTCCACCTTCCAGGAAACTCACACTGCTCTGGTTTTGCTCCATGCTCATGGCCCATCCTGGGACTTGCCCTGGTTGCCTTGTCTTGTCCCTTTGGTACTGGTGGGAAGCTCAGGACCCATACAATCTGGGGTTCTGAGAGCCCAGCCCGAAGGAAGCAGGTGAGCAGGGGGCACTGGAGAATCCAGAGCCAGCAGGAGGGACATGAACTCTTGGGTTCTATTATTAAAGTTCAGGTGGTTTGCTTCTTTTTCTTTAACTAGACTTCATTTTAAGAGAAGTTTTAGGTTCATGGCAAAATTAAGCAAAATGTACTGAGAATTCCCATATGCCCTCTGCCCCCACACATGCACAGCCTCCCTCTCAACACTCACACCAGAGTGGGACATTTGTCATAGCTGGGGCACCTATACCCACCCATCATTATCGCCCAAAGTCCATAGTCTGCATTTGGGTTCACTCTTCATGGGTCTGGACAAATGTAAATGACAGGTCTGGGCCATTGTAATATCATAGACAGACAGCTCACAGTCCTCATCCTCTGAGCTCCACCTTCTCATCCCTCCTGCCCCTAACCTCTGGCAACCACTGATCAGTTTTCTGTCTCCATAGATTTGCCTTTTCCAGAATGTCTTGTAGTTGGAATCCTGCAGCATGCACCCTTTCAGACGGGCCTCTTTCAGATGGCGGTAAATCCATCCTCTTATCCCCAGATTTCTTTCTGCTTTGCTGAGATGGAGGGAGATGTGGAACAAACCTTCACTTACCCAGTAGGACCCTCTGTCCCCACGTGCACATAGCCGCAGGAGAGTCAACGGGGGCAGTGGAGCCTTAATGGCAGAGGATGCTGTTCCTCTGTGCAGGGAATGGAAGCAGGCCCTCTCCTCCCTCACCCACTGCTCGCTGCGCCTTCCTTTCTTAACCCTGGCCAGCTGATGCCTGCCACCAAGAGCACCCCGGCACCCTCTGTAACCCACTCTGGGCCCCCCACTCCCCAAGCTCTTTGCTTCCTGCTCCTCACTCCATGGCTTCTCTCTCAGCCCTGTGTGCTCTCCCCAAGTGTCCCATCAGAACGCACCTGTGTGCTCTGCTGTGGCTCACCTCTGCTGCCAGCCTTTGTCCCTGAGCTTATCTGACACCTTTTTGAAGCCTTTTGGACCCCGCCCTTCAGGGAGGGACAGAGTGTGACATGGATTGACCAAGGTGGGGCCCTGTGACCCAGGGGACTCCACAGCGTGGTAGAAGCACACATGTCCTAGGTCTCCATTATTCATCCTGTCACTGTGATACCTTCCAGAAGAACTGCCTTGCTCTGTTAGGAGCAGTGCAGTGCCATAATCTGGTATTTTAGGTGCTGCATTTCGGAGGCCAGAGGTAAGGACAAGGGGAAATTCCAGGCCAGTGGTCTCAGCTGAGCTGATGTAGGACCAAGGCAGAGGCCAGTAGAGACTAACTTCCACAGCAGAGGGTTCACCCCAATGCAGAACAGGCCCCAGAGGCAGAGCAGTGACAGAGGAGAGCCACTCTGAGTTGAGGGACTAACAGTCCTCTTAGCCATCCCTGGGACCGTGCCAAGGTTCAGAAAGTAAGGAGGATTTGGTTGGGAAGAAATTCAGTCAGGATGACCAAGGCCTTGGGACAGAGAAGAGAATGGAAAGGAGCCAGGGCGGGGTGCACCTGTGCAGGGAGGGGACAGTACTAAAGTGGTTCAGTTTGGTTGAGAAGGGCAAATGTGGGCCAAGGAGGGAGCTCCTTACTAAAGGGGAAAGAACAGAGTCTGGGAAAGTGCACAGCTTGGAATAACCAAGAGGCCTGGGCCTCTCAGATGTGACCCCAAAGCACAAATAAACAAAGAAAAAGAATAGATAAATTGGACACGATCAGTATTAAACAACAACACCCACAAGAAAGTGAAAAGACAGCCCATGGAATGGGAACACTTTCTAAGAACAGACATACACAAAGGGAGATACATTAGGCATGTTAGAACCGCTGTGGGTTGGGCAGGGGACTGGGAACACACACAGAACACATGCACGTGAGGAAGACAAGAGTGAGGCCTTGCATGGCTGGTGATGGTGATGCACAGAGGCAGATCTGCAATGGATGACCATAAATGAGAGAAAGAAAGGCCTGAGCGACAGGTGAGTGACTGCAGGCCCTCATACTGGGATAGTCCGTGAGACAGGAGGCACCGGGTCTCACACCTGGAGGATGAAGGTGGTGAGTAGGAGGAGGAGCTCTGCATGCAGGCAGGTAAGAATTTCCTTTCTTTATTTAAAAGAGTACATAAAATGTATACAGAGAAGTGACTATTGCCAGGTAGCATAGAACACGTGTGGGAGGAGTAAAAGGAAAGAGCCGATCCTCCAGGAAACCCCTGGAAAGAGCTGCCTAACAGGACTGCAACTCCCCAAGTCCCAGGCTCTGTCCCTTCTGGCTTAGCCTCTGCAGGCTGCTGGAACTAAGTACCAGAAGCAAGGGAGCTCAGAGCAATGGAAACAAACAGTGTCGCAGTTCTGAAGGTCAGAGTCTGAAACGGAGGTGTTTGCAGGGCTGCATCCCCCGATGGCTGGAGGGGAGGCTCCTTCCTTGCTCCCTGCAGCGCTGCTATTACCGGTGGTCCTTGGCACTTGATTCCTGGCTTGTGGATGCATCCCTTTAATCTCTGTCCTTGGGTGTCACCCTCTTGTCTCTGTCTCTTCTTATTTTTTTTTTTTTTTTT